AAAAAAAAAGAAATCAAATCGGCGAGCTCTGGTGGCCTAGTGGCAGAAAACTGCACTGTAATCCCAGAGGTACGCGGTTCAAATCCACCAGATGCCCTGTTGAAGAAGGAGGAACAATTGCCTCCTGTACCAGTCAGATCCAACTTGACGGTACACACGTAAAAAGAATAAATAAATAAATTTAAAATTATTTTTTAAAAAAAAGGAAAAAAATCAAATCATGTATTGAATAGGGCAAATCTGCTCCCAAGGCCCTCTTAAACATGCTAAAGAGCAAAGTTGTTGTGTTTTTGTTGTTGTGGAGTACCATCGAGTTGGAACCGATCCACAGCTGACCGTCCAGTGGGTTTTCAGAGTCAGGTAATCGCATGGGAGGAGATTGCCCACGTCACTTTAAATACTAAATTGCACCTAACCTAAGCCATGGCTTCCTTGCAATGGTTTCATAGGCTTGTGAAGGATGCACAATGAATAAAAAGAGATAGAAGAATTGATAACTTAAAATTGTGTTAGTGAAGAATATGAAATATATCGTGGGATGCCAAAACAAACAAACCAACAAACAAGCAACACACAAAATCCCAAACAAATCTATTTCAGAAGAAGTCCAGTTAAGAGTGCTCCTTAAATGCAAGCATTGGGGGTGCATCATGTTTGGAAAAGTGGGGGGGTCAGTAAATTAGCGGGAGACCCTCAAGGAAATGATTGCGATCATGACTGTAGTAAGAATGGGTTTAAGAAGAGCAGAGGTTGTGTGAATGGCACACGGTGGAGCAGGCTTCCTTCTGTTGTCACAAACTCAAAGACACCTAACAACATACTGTTGAGTCTGTAACCACCTTGGGACTCGGGGAGCCAATTGCCAGGTCTCCCATTTCCCACCCTTTTTACCCCATATGCTGAATACAATCTTTTCTTTAGGACTGTAGCAATTGTATTGCCCCTCCCCGCTTCACACACACAAGCTTCCTCCAGCATGCATGGTTAACCCAAAGAGATCCCGTGCCAGGGTGGACCTCCATCTACAATTCTCCCCCAGGGATGCCCTCCCTTCTCCAGGGCGTGGACTGCCCCCCGCTTTGCACGATACACCCTTCCCTCCTTTCTAGGTCTCCCAGTGCAGCCTCGATCTACTGCCCAGACTGCACAGTCAGCGCAGATCTGTCCTTTTCCTGTCCCTCACTCCCGATCGCCACTGCCTCTCTCTCTCTTGCTCTTCCGCGTTACTTACGTCCAGGGTCTGGGCGCGCCCTCGGCGCTGGGGCCACTCTTGTCCTCAGGGCTCTGTGTCCCTCGAATTGTACACCCCTTTCCTGTCAGCTGGACTCTAGAGCGGTAGGGATTTCCTGTCCATCATGTTGTCTTGAAATGAAAAGTTTTCTTAAAACTAGGGTGACAAATTCCAGAAGGGGAGGGTCCTTTCGGCCAGGATCGCTCCGCCCCCTCGACTCATGCCCTTTTATGGCTTTCCGGACACAGGCATGCTGGGAAATCCATACGCAAATTAGGCGGGCGAGCGGCGCCCCGCCCTTTCTGGGCCTGGGACGACTGTCATCCAGCCCAGTGCGCAGGCGCGGGAAAGTTGAACTTTTACTAAAAAGTTCGTGCACATTCTACGGAGGCGCCGTTGGAGGCGGGGCCTCGGGCCAGGTGAGCGAGAGGCGGGAGTGAGTGAAGGGCCGGCGGGAAGAGGGGCGGCCGGGGTCCAGGAGCGGGCACCAGTTCCCGCTTGTCCGATGCCCGAGGGTCCAGGGACCCGGAGATCCAGGCTGATCCCGCAGTGGAACTACTCCTCCCGGCAGTCTGCGCGGCGAGCAAGAGTGGACCAAGGGGGCGAAATCTGTGCATCAAACCTACTGGGAGTCCCCTACCCTCTAAGCATTTAGTGTACGCCTCCAGGGGTTGGTGACCTCTTTTTTCCTCGAGGACCCCCGAAGTTCCAGCCCCCTTCTCCCTCATAGCTAAGAAATCAGTTCCCATCTCCCTTGAGGATCCAGGAAGGGCTCTCAGTCCCTTCTTAGCCCACTTCTCCCCTCCCCAAAGCTAAAGGATGAGGGCCACCAGCCTTTTAATTCTTTGACCAAGTGGTCCAGGCCCACCAGTCTCCTGAACCCCGCTTGGGCTCTGATGCCCTAGTCTCTCCTCCTTGAGACCTGGGAGACTGGTCTCCAGCCCACCCAAGCCCCGGATCCCCGAGTTTTCTATTTCCCGCACTCTTCTCTCTCCTCTCGCTGGGTAATTCAGCTTGGTCACCAGATCCCAGACCCCAGTCTGTTCCACATTTGGAGAGTCATGAATCCACGCCCCTGCCCCCCGCCCTCCGCCCCCCCGCCTCATTCACAGACTAAGTTCAGACCCTAAATGCCTTCTTCCCTATGGAACCCTGGGGTGCAGCCCCAGCCGCCTCTCGCAGGTGCCCCCATGGCAGGCTCAGAGGAGCTTGGACTCAGGGAAGACACGCTGAAGGTCCTAGCAGCCTTCCTTAAGCGGGGAGAGGTTGCTGGGTCCCCCGTCCCTACCTCCCCCAGGTAAGAGGGATTTCCCTCCCCCAGGCGATTGATTTTGGGGTGAAGCTCTTTCTGGCCCTGGCTTTTGGTCTCAGTCTGTCTCCTTTCCTTCTTCGACACTGACTTTCGCTCCCTATTGCTGGGGTTCCTGAGAGAGGTATTCTCTATGGCAGGAAGAGGGTATTTACACAAGGCCTCCGGAGTCAGTCCGAGGTCCTGTTCCCTAGCACCCCCACCCAGGAGCAACCGACAGATTTCCTGAGTCGCCTTCGGAGATGTCTCCCCTGCCCCCTGGGCCAAGGAGCTGTTCCCCCTGAGTCCCCTCGGCCTTGCTACCTGCCTCTCCGCCCCTGCTATGATTCAGAGCCAGGTAGGAGATTTCCCAGAATCACTCGTAAAAGCTACGAGGCCAAGGGCTTTACTACTACAAGATCATTCCGAGGGTGGTTGTGGGAGGTTTCCAGCCACTGCGACTATCCTGTGCCTTTCCCATCCCCCAGCAGAGGTCCATTAGGGAGGTCTGTGGCAGTCAGGAGCTGCGCTGCCAACCCAAAGGCAAGTAGTTCAAATACACCAGCTACTCCTCAGGAGAAAAATGGGCTGTCTCCTCCCATTCGACTTAGGGCTTCTGCAAACCCGCAGGAGGGTCAGCTATGAATCTGTTCCTACTCAACAGTGAACAGCAAACAGCATGTTAATTAACAGCAAACAGCATGTTAATTAGTGGCTGGCTGTGGAGCCCCTGGTGGTTTCTCTCACCCTACACTTTCTGCTCAGGCCCAGCTACTGCAGACTTCTACACCCTGGTGGCCCAGCGGCTTGAGCAGCTGGTACAAGAACAACTAAAATCACCTCCTAGCCCAGGTGAGGTGCTGGGGGCTCCGGGGAAGGATGGGACCAGGAGTGCAGCCAGTCCACCCTGTGGGGGTTCAGCGATAGAATTCTTTTTAATAATAGCAACAACATTATTTTATTTTTCTTTTTATTATTAGTGTGTGTGTGTGTGTGTGTGTGTGTGTGTGTGTGTGTACCATCAAATCAGATCTGACTGGTACAGGAGGAGATTGTCCCTCCTTCTCCAGCAGAGCATCTAGTGGATTTGAACTGCACACCTCTCTTGGATTGCAGTGCAGCTTCTTGCCACTAGGCCACCAGAGCTCACCAGCAATAGGATCTCACCTTCCATGGGTTCCATTCCTGGCTCATGCATCTCGTGTTCAGCCAACACCCATTTGTCAGTTGAGACTTTATGTTGGGATGAGGCTGATCAAGTGTCATGGAGCCCCCAGAGACTAGGAAGAAAGGCCTGGTAGTTTCGTTCTCTGAAAACAACCAATGAAATCGCTGTGGGTCACAAGGGCCGACTGCACACAGGAGGGGAGCCAAGTGTGCTTCCCACAGTGGAATTCTCTTCTGTCCCTAGAGTTACTGGGCCCCCCACCCACTGAGAAGGAAGCCCTGTTGCGAAGACTGGTGGTCTTACTGGAAGAGGAGGCAGAAGTCATCAACCAGAAGGTGACGGGTGGTGGGCTAGGCCATCCCTCATAGAGAATTGGATTTGGGGCCCATGACTGGCCTCCTAAGTGGGAATTTCACTCAATAGATGAATCTGGTGGGGGCAGGACGGGACAAATACTGTAAATGAATGTTTTTTCACCAGTTGTTATTGTGGGAGTGGTCCAAATGTAGGGGTGTGATCTGAAGACACAGGATCTACGAGAGAAATTGGGCCAGATGAGGGGAAGGAAGGGATCTCTACTTCACTATAGGAAGGAATCTGTCCACACGCTTAAGGCCACACAACATGGCTTAGAGAGTGAAGGAAACAGACTGCTGGGGGCGGGGCTTGCTTTGTGTCCTGCAATCCGATTGGCATGCCTGTGGCATCCTGGCCAAGTAGCTGGCCTTTGCGCCTTAATTGAATGCTAGCGAAAGGGGTTGTAATTGAACTTGGCCTGGACTCTTGATTGTCCAGAGAAGCCTGTAATGGAAATGGCCAGAAAATGAACAGGAATAGGACTAAACTAGGGCGAGGCCCTGATTGGCTGTCGGGGCGGGGGTGTGGCTTGATGGTTGGGCGGAGGCCATCAAGCCTGGTTTGCGATTGGTTGAAGGGATGAATAGAGGCGTGGCTTAAATAGCTGGCTGCTAGACTAGTGACAGGTAGAGAGGCATGCCCTCAGCATCCTATGGCAAGTGGGGGGGTGACTCTGTGAGTGACCCCGTGTCTTCCCCATCCCACAGCTGGCCTCGGACCCCACCCTGCAACGCAAGCTGGCCCGGCTCTCTATGGGTTCCTTCGCACGATTAGCTGAGCTCTTCTCCAGCCGTGAGCCCAGCCCTCGGCCCAGCCGGGCACGCACCTCATCACCGTGTCCGGGGCCTCCCCCACCTTCCCCGGAGCCCCTGGCCCGCCTGGCCCTGGCCATGGAGCTGAGCCGGCGCGTGGCCCGGCTGGGGGGCACCCTGGCGGGACTCAGTGTGGAACACGTACACAGCTTCGCGCCCTGGATCCAGGCCCACGGGGGCTGGGTGAGCCTTCCAAGACCCTCCCTGGGACCTCCCTCACCTGCTTGTAATGTGGGGCGCAGACTGGTTTCTTTTCTTTCCAGATTAACTCTACCACCCTCCCTTCTGTATTAATGTGATGTCCTGCTGACCCAGGGGAGGTTCAAATCCACCAGCTACTTGGGTGAAAGGTGCACACACTCCTGTTAGGATTTACAGCCTCGGAAACCCGAGGGAGGGTCAGTATGAGGTCAGAACTGGCTGCGTGGCACTGAGTTTTGCGTTTATTGAGTATCAGCCGTGTACCCAATGCAGTGAGAGTTGAGACGCTATCAAAAGGCTTAGGCTGCTCTTAATGTGCTACCAGACTGGGTTATGAGCCCTGAAACTATTGACTGGTTGCTTCTCCGTGGGCCTCAGTTCTCTGCATCTGAAAAGTGGGAGAGTAGTGGTACCTACATCTGAGTATTGTCCTAAGATTAAATAAGATCATTGGTGCAGTGACTGGCCCACCGTGGGCACTAAGTGTGTGGTTAGTGGACGTTGGCCCAGTTGTGCCTAAATGTCCCCCCTGGAGCTCTTAGGGTTCTCTGTAGATCTGTAGACACAACCTTGAGGTGTACAGGTAAATCCCATCTCAATGACTCGACTGGAAGTTGGTTCTAGAAAAAGAAGTACCACACTTTAAAAAATATATTTATTTTTAGCTTTAACCCACAAATGTTCTCACCGTTTTGGAGACAGCTGTCACTCCTCTGAGGGACTATGGAGTCAGCTCTGACTCATCGTGGTTCCCCATCCCGCAGAGCAGAACCCCACCACCTGCACAATCCCCGTGTTGCAGTTCTGGGTCAATCCATCTTGTTGGGGGGGGTCTTCCTCTTTTTTGCCAACCCTCTAATTTTTTAAGGTGCTATTGATCCAAGCCATTATATTTTTAATTACTTCCTATACATCAGACCACTGGGCCGATGGGGAGCATCATGATAGATGGTGAAGAGATTGAGATTGTTAACAGCTTCACTTTGTTAACAGTTCCACAGTCAACACTCTTGGCACTAGCAGGCAGGAAATCAAAAGACAAATTGTATTGGGAAAGTCGGCTGTCAGGGACCTCTCCAGAGTACTAAAGAGCAATGAAGTCAGTCTGGACACTAAGGTGCACCTTATCCAAGCCATGCTGTTGTTGTTGTTGTTATGTGCCGTA